CTCTCTCTCTCTCTCTCTCTCTCTCTCTCTCTCTCTCTCTCTCTCTCTCTCTCTCTCTCGCTCCTTCCCTCTATCTTTCTTCTTCTCTTTGTATCCCCATCTTCTCTCTCTGTAAGCTGAAGATCGGAGGCGTCTTTACGTTCGAGTATTCGCGAATCAGTAAGCAGATTTTGTGATGTTGCATTACGTGACGCCGAGCGGACACGACCATCGTCCAGACACAAACGGAGAGGATATTGAAGCACTCCTCCGTCATGACAATGGCACAATCCCACACAGGAATTATTCCGAGAAAATCAATGTTTGAAATTTAACTTTTAAAAATTTCTTCTGCAACATGGCTTTTTATGCAAATTTTTTATATTTTCTTCAAAAATCCATTATAAAAATTCGCTAACTTTCTTTGTAAAATACAAAAATTTTCGATACATCTTGCAATTTTTGTTATTATCTAAAGTAAGCACTATAAGTAAAAATTAAGAACAAATATTAATTAAAATATTGCAAGATGTATTAAAAATTTCTTGTATTTTATACAGAAAGTTAACAAATTTTTATAATGGATTTTTAAAAGAAGATATATAGAATATAATATTTTTATATGAAGATAAATTAATATATTTTTAAATACAAAGAAGAATAATCATTTGTTTCTATTTGAATCTTGTGTTTTTTATTACTTAAGAACATCCAGTAAACAATTATTTTCAATGATACAGATGTTTTTTATATTACTATTACGAAAATATTTCAGATAAACTTTTTAATTTGAATAATTCCTTTTTGCATTATCATTTCGATGTCACAAACTTTTTAATCGTCTTGGAAACAATGTTTCGATGTTTTAATGTTTGACAGAAAAAAATAATAAAATAGTCAACTAATAAAAATAGTAATATTGTAATGAATTATTTCCCATATTTAGGTGCTAGATTATTAGAATAGGACAATCATTGTGTGAAGAGCGAAAGTATTTCGATCGCATATCATGGATTTTCACTATTTTTATAACTTTTCTAAGATTTTCTACAGAGATATAATATAAAATAAAGGAAAAGAATTAACAAATTTCACTCTTCATCTAGAATGTTTGATGAAGCCAGAACAAAAACATTATGAGACAAATGCACGCGCGCGGTTTTATCCTCTTTCGACACTTGTCGCGATATTGTGATGAGATTACAAGACGCAGTTGGCCGCTTTTTCAATGCGGAATACGCACTGCGGTATATTCCCTGAAAAACCAACTCTTCTCCTCCCCCTCCTTTAAGCCTCGAGCCATTGACTCGAGTCGCTGGAAAATACACGTCGGATGTTTGTAAGTCACGTATTATGAATTGTATCGCGAAGAATCTATACTTGTAATGCCTATGATGTGATTTGATCTCCGTGATCTCCATTTGTTCCAAATGCGAAAAGATGTGTTCGCGCAAAAAAAAAGTACTTATACATTTTTAGTATACAGGGTGTTCCGCGAGACTTTTGCCACCGCTCGTAAAAAAATAGATAGGACCGAGATGAACATAAAAGTCCCATACCATTTTCCCATATCATCTGTATTTCATCCTGTATATAAGAAACGTCATAGCGATTAAAGATACATCCTAATAAAATGTTATATTATTCATCCGTTTCTTTTCTTTACAGTATTATTAAATGTATGTACATAGTTTATTATATAGTATAGGATCGACTATTACATATGTCAGAGAATATAATTAAACTTAATTTTTTCTTCAATACGATATTGTGATATTATGATATTTTTTGTTTATTGTGTTGATATTTTCTTAACAATTATTTTTATGTTAAAAAACTGCAATTTGGAATTTGTTCCTTCCTGCACGACTAATTCAATTATATAATTAAATAAAAATTTGAAACATTGTTTCTATAAATTCTAAAAATTTTTTATTTAACTTATTCTATTATTTAAGATATCTTTTCTATTTTCTACTTCTTAGAAAAAAGAATTTTTGTATTACGCATTTTTCTTAGAAATTATCGAAGAATTATCGAATGATTTGTAAGCAAATTATGAAGTTCAAGAATTAATTAATATCCGCTTTAAACCAGATTAAGCGAAGCCTTAGGAAGCCTCAATTTCCGCCTCAATATCGCTCTCTTCCTCCTTTTATCCCTATCTTCCTCTTTCTCTTCAAAGTATAGTCTAATTATTTTGTCGTATAATAAAGATGAAATAAGTATAGCCAAATTTATATCGCAAATCTCAAATATATTCAAAAGTAAAGATTAAAATCAAATTAAAGTATTGAGAAAGCAAACCAAGATATTGATAAAGATCGAATTATAATTGTATCGTAAGGGAAAAATGACAAAAAAATGACAACAAAACGATAATTTCGCTAAACAATATAAAGTTTTGACTAAATACATAATCAAAAGTAATTTTGTTGGTTCAAATAATTATATAGGATGTTCAAATTGATTACTAAAGTATCAAAAGTTTTTGCAATATTGTTGTCACATTTAAGTGCACTACATATTTTGATGATCTAATATTATTTCTTTTTAAATATGTATCTATATGATCAAATTTTTGATACTCAGCTTTTTTTTCGTGTAGAAAACATAAATTGAAACATCAGAACGTAATAAAATGATTTATTTCTAAAACATTTGTTTTATATTTCTACGTTCCAATTTATACTTTTTAAAAGTTTTTATTTATGTTTCTATTACTTTTCTCTTATATTATATTTAAATTCCAATTATATTTATTTTCATTAAAAAACATATATATGGGCATATAAAAATATCAATTTTTAATAATTTTAAAGATACATGTGAAATATAATATTAAAGAAACTAAACATTTCGATTATTTCCGTTTATATAAAAATTGATTCCAATAGAAAAGTATCTAAACGAATAATTTTATATTATAAAATCATTCTAATTATTTCATATAAATGAAATAAAAATACAATTAAAAAAATAAATTATAATAATTTTTATTTGTTTTTATTTATTTCATTCTCCTACTTCAAAGAAAAAAATCTATCGTATTATTTATATATTATTCAATAAAAAATGCTTTTGATTAAAATCTTATTTCTATTGTAAAAGCATATCGAAACTATAAATTTAACTCAATTTACATATACTTAAAAGCTAAATCGTACAAATTAAACCGCAATGTTATATATTTTGTGTCAATAAGTCTTGATGAAAAGAGTCAACTCATGTCATGAAAGAGATGAACTTTTGTCCCCGTAAAGATTCTATTTTTTTCTTCATAGTGGCGCGTAGAAGAAGAAAAGAAGGACGACCACGAAGACAAAGAACGACATTTAGTGGCGAACAGACACTAAGGTTAGAAGTCGAGTACCGACGAGGAGAATATATATCGAGAGGACGCAGATTCGAGCTCGCAACTTCCTTAAGACTTACTGAGACGCAAATCAAAATTTGGTTCCAGAACCGCCGTGCCAAGGATAAAAGAATCGAAAAAGCACAACTGGACCAGCAGTACCGGTATTCAATCCTATTATATTATTCTTCGCTGATTTGTTTAATTAAAATAACCATGTGTTTTTGAATTTTCTCATGAACATCAAGCGAATCATTAAGTGAACTCATTCTTCTAAATCTTTAACCTTTGATTTAACATTTGATTAAACATTTGATCTTTCTTGAGATTTTTATCAGATTATTATATTTTTAAATTATTAAATATATTTATATTCTTCATTTTTTTTTAATATTTAAAATTTAGATCTCTACATTTATGAACATTTAGCAGATATTTTTAATATTTCATATCACGAAAAAATTCAGAACCAAGTATAATAAATTACGCATGTATGTATATCTAATTATTTAATAGAGGAGGTGGTATTATCATATAGATATTATAGCCATTCGTAATATCACCATTATTAGGTGACGAATTCTAATAATCACTTACGAAATCATTTTGTTTAGTAATCGTTATGCCAAGAGAGAGAGAG